GGATGGGGGAGGGAGGGTTATACAAGGAACCTTGGGAGTAAAGGGAAAGAAGGAGCTCAAGAGAGGTGGGACCATAGGAGAAGGGTATTATTAAGGGAGAAATGGGAAAAATGGGGCACTTTAAATGGGGAAACCATGGTGGAAGGGTTAGAAAATGTGAGAGATAAATAATGCCTAGCTAGTTTTAAAAAACCAGAGGGAACCATATTAATTGAGCAACCTAATGACAAATTATACATAGAACTAGCTCAAGGAATATAAATACATGTCTAGGCAAGGTTTATCTGAGAACATTTGGTCTCTACCTAAGCTTTATCTAAATAACACATGGTAATTAAACTTACCAGTCTGGTGGAACTAACCTTCTTGGATATCTAACAGCCATACTTTGAAGCCTAAACTAATTTGGTCAGAGGCATATAAAGAACAGTTTTTGCTCCTTGCCATCCTAGGTCAACTAAGCTCCAGGAACTATGAGCATCTCTCAAAACATCCTGTAACTGTGGTGCATCACCTGTCCTCTTGATCAAGGAGGCCATGGAGACCCCACCAAATGGACTTCAACCAGTGTCCAGTCTACAAAAGTCAACACCAACACAGAAGAAACACTTCCTCCATGCTTCCAAGTGAAGGCAGCCATGGTTGAGTAAGACCTTTGACTTATCTTCACATAGATGGAACTGGTAAAAGAAAGGAGCCAGGGGCTTCTCCAAAGCCCATGTGACCCCTGAGGAACAGATCCTCAAATGACCTTAAGCATAAAAATAAATTTGTTTATCTGGGCCAACTGTATGGTCTTAAATACCCAAAAGGAAAGTATAACCAAAGATTCAAGGGATCAATGTAATTCTTTAAGCATCCATGTGTATAGCTAAAGACTACATAACAAGAAAGAATGCCAGACAGGAGATACCTTCCTTTGAGCTGTGAGCCATGGTGGCCCAAGAAACTCCCAGACAATAATCCAGTATAGAACTGGGAAAATGAACAGCAGACCTGAATTTTATCTAAAGGAATATTGGCAACTGATTGCTGCTAGATGAGGAAGAGCTGATCTTCCTAAAACAAGGAACTCTAGATAGGCTGACTAGATTCAGTGGATGGACAAGCACTGGAGAACAGCTGGGGGCACCCACAACACAGCGGACAGTAGTAGGGATTACAGAGTATATGGGCTCCAGTGTGGGAGGGGTGGGGGTATGGGAGGGTGCCATTTGCAATGCGGGTATTTAGATGAATAAGATTGTTTGTTATGTTCTGGATGAAAGACACACAAAAAGATAAATTTTAAAAAATGAGTTATATTTGAGGAAGAAGCATAAAAATTTGCTCCATGTTAATTAGTAGAGGTGAAACACATTACCATTGACATCTACTTGATGATTTTATATCCATGCTCAGGTGGATCTCAGAAAGTAACTGACAGTGACTTGTAATAATCAGATACATAGAGATTAGAGATGCATGTGCAAACATCTAAGTGTTAGTAACATTAAAAATGAGTTTTTCTGTATGAAACTTTATTTTAAAATGAAATGGAGATTTTTTTTAAAGGGTTAAACCTCATTCAATTTTGTGTCTTATAGGTTTTATACTGAATTCAATATTGTATAACTGTATGACTTCAACTATGAACCTAAAAATTTACAGACAATATTGAAAGAGATGCAAATCCCTGTTCACCTGCTTCCTTACTTACAGGTCTTTGTTTTTCTCCTTCCTAAAGTCTTCTTATCTGAGTAACTCCAATGAATAGTCCTTGTGGAAAGTTTGTGTCCTACCTCATCAGGGATAGGGTCCTTTTCTCCAGAGGCGGCTTCCTCCAACCTGCCCAAGACACTCTCCTTGATCAAACTCCAGTCAAGCCCCTAGAGTACATCCTTTCAACTAGAATGAAGAATCTCGGGCTTCTCAAAACAAAGCCATAACTTGTACTTTTACAAGATCCCCATAACCCACACACAGTGATGTTTGAGAAGCACCGTTCTGATTGGATGACAATTTACTTGACTGTCATGGCAGAGTCACAGGTGATATACAGGCTATTTTATTTTTTGAGACAGGATCTCACTCTGTAGTTCAGACTGTCATTGAATTCGCAATCCTCCTGCCTCAGCCTCTTGAGTTGCCAGCATTAAACTTGTGTGCCACCACACCTGGCCATACACATGCACTAGAGAGTGTGGGAAACTTGCTTGGTTGTTTCTTGCCCAACTGTCATAGTAAGGCTTCAGATTCATGTGACATGGGGCAGCAAAATATCTGCCTAAGTAATTTTCTGAAGCTGTCTTTCCCAAGAGATGACAACATAACTACAAGCCTTTGAGGATTCGAAGTCACTCAATTTAGACACAGTTCAGACTGTGTAAGAGGAAGGAAATACTGTGAAGAGTACATAGACAGTACTCTAGCACCCATGCTTGGTGTGAAAGACAATGTAGCCTGTAGGCAGTCCATAGGGCTGCCATTTGGATCCTGGCTCTATCACTACCTAGCTTTTGGAATTAGATATTTAATTCTCCCTCCAGGGCCTTAAGATTGGGGTAAAAATGCATGTCTGATAGAACTTATTTTGAAAAATTAACTGAAAATTATGTAGTACATAGATTACATAGACAAATGTTCACTAAATGAATTCTTTCCCTTGATTAAAGTTAGTTTTGAAAAAGAAAAATATGTTTCATCTAGCTTGGAACTAAGGTCAGTGATTTTGATATTGCTATTCTAACAGGCCAGCTGAATTAAGTCTTAAGAGAGGGGACAATAGTATGAAATGTTCTAATCTTCAGAGTTGATCAGAATGTCGTATCTCCACCGAAGGCCAGAGATAAATTCCATATTTTTTGCCCAAGAAGGAGTAGCTTTTCCTTAATGGCTTCAATGGAGTCCTGAAATTCCTCCTCCATGACCTCCAAGACTGCTATAATAATATCAAGGCTGACAGAATTAGTTGTAATGACAGAAAGGATGCCATAAAGGTCCCCACTCTGGCCCCAAAGTCTCCATGCATTTCCATTAGCTGATGGAACCTGGGAGGGGTCCTGGAAGTCAGATATGCTACCCTTCTTGTAGAGAGAGGATGAGATTGCATGGCCACTGCCAACTGAGTCTGGGACCCGAGTGTCCATTGGGCTTTAAGGAACCATTCTTTTGAAGAGTCAGTCCCCTTAGCTCCCCTGGTTCACCCAACTCTGTTTGGCCTCCTTCTGCTGAGTTCATCACACCATCATGTGGATGAATCCCTGCTTGAGTCTTATGTTGCCTTCTCTCTTTGTCTGTACTATACTCCTCTGTGGCTTAGCTTTTCCAAGTGGGACCTTGAGTGACTAAGGGCTTGCATTAGTGCTGTGCCTTCACTGCTGTAACTGCTTTCTTGGATACCAGACTTCTGCTCAACTTTGATGTGTGTTGACTTTTCAGAGTCAACCCAGTCTCCTTTCATCTATTTAATCATAGAAAGAATAATCTTTTGTCTTCTATGTCATGGATCTAAAAGCTAAAATTTAACCTGAATCATATTGATTCTATTTTAATTTCTCTTATGAGATTTTATTTTACCTCTACTTGTTTCTTAAAAATATTTACTGCAGTGTATATTTGAATATTTGAACCATATTTGAGTCAAAGATCGGGTAGTACTCAACAATTATTTGATACCTATAAGAAGCAGCAGTGGCTAGCAGATGAGCTGTGAAAGTGCGCTGCATAAGTGGCTCTGTGGGATCACTAGATTAAAATCTGCCTGATTTCTATCTTGTTTTCTGGATGCAGGATTTATCAGTATTAATTCTCTTCTTTCGCCTTCATACTCAGTCTGCTTCCTGCTTATGGAGGCCCCACAGCTTCCTGGCCCCTCTCCCAGGAGGACATGCTGGTGACCTGTCATTCTACTGGGCTTCACTCCTGCATGCTTGTCATGGAGTTCACTTCTGACTACACACTCCACTTCCTGAGAAGTCAGTAACGCCCCTTGGGGTGGAGATGAGGACCCCTGAAGGCTGGTGTGTGATGGCTAACACCTCCCTCTCTATCTTGTTGGGGGTGCCATACATAACAGTACAGCTATACTACCTTCTTGTTCTAAGGTAGTTCAGGTAGCAGAAAAGGAAACCTGAGTCTCTTTCACCACCACTCCAGTCTGTACCGATCAGGCAAAAGTGGTGGCTGAGGGTTGTGTTTCTATATTCATCCTTTCACTTTAATCCCCTTGAATCCTTACATCTTCAATGTTTTTGTTTTATTTCCTTCAAACTAAAATTGTTCATGCTCTGACTAGAACTTCTATATAGATCATAAATTTCTTTGAAACACGGTCTTGTTCTTTGCTCTTAAGAACTTAAAACTAGGGCCTGGGAATGTAGCTTAGCGGCAGAGTGCTTGAAGCACCAGCTAAATTCAATCCCAATTCTCTCTCACGCCCCCCTCCCCAAGTTACCCCGGGTGGGGGACCCATAGACAAACAATTGGCAATCTCTGCACCAAAAGGGGATTGAGGGGGACTCTCAAAATATGAATCAGTGATGTCCCTGGTAACAAGCTCTAAGGGAAAGACGAGCTCTGTCAGAGGGAAGATTTCTCACCCTGAGTACTGATATTTGTCAAACCAGACTTCCCTACCTAAACACCTTGCCCAGACCTAGTATTTCTAACGCCCTGCCCGTTTTAAGTCCTGCAGATATCTCTTTGCTGATGGCTAGCCACTCCCAGTCCCGATCCATGTTAATCTAGGCCCTGGTCACCCCCCGGGGCGGTGTTTCCTGCTCGCTGCAGGTGAGTCCCACGCCCGCGGCTCCGGGGTGAGGCGGGGACCTGTGGGGACGGAGGGGGACCATCCTCAGCGTCCTTAGCGGCCCTGGGCTCGCACGGAGCGGCTTCCGGGCGTGCCTCCCGGCGCCCCGGCACACTGGGGCCCTGCAGCTACTGCCCAGCTGCGCGGCGAAAACACCGAGATGCGGGGCGGGGGCAGGGCGCCGGGTAGGTGACTTTCTCCCGCCTCTGTTCCCGGCCCGGGGGAGCAATGACATCACGCGGCCTTCTGCAAGCTCCGACACAAAGAGCGGCTGGGAGAGGCCTCGGCCAGGGAGGCCGGTGGCAGCCGCTGTGTCTCCGGGCCCCCCGGCTCGGGCTCCACCAGTGGGCTCGCCTGCTGGCCTGCGCCCTGCCATCGCCGACGCCGCCCCGGGAGCGCAGCTGAGCCCGCCCGGCCGCCGGCCCCTTCCCTGCGGGCGCAGGCCCTGGGAGGGGCGCCGGGAGCCTGCCGCGCAGCATGCACTGGGGGGTTGGCTTTGCCTCTTCTAGGCCGTGCGTGGTGGATCTGAGCTGGAACCAGAGCATCTCCTTCTTCAGCTGGTGGGCCGGGTCGGAGGAGCCCTTCTCCTTTTATGGGGATATCATCGCTTTCCCTTTGCAGGATTACGGTGGGATCATGGCAGGGCTGGGCTCTGATCCCTGGTGGAAGAAAACCCTTTATTTGACCGGGGGAGCTTTGCTGGCCGCGGCTGCGTATCTGCTGCACGAACTCTTGGTCATTAGGTGAGCTGAAGAGAGGGTCCCGTGTGCGGGCGCCCACAGAGGCACTTGGCCGAACGGCCAGCGTGAAGGGAGGGTGGGGGGAGTCCAGTGCTAGCCCCTTGGTCATGCCGCCCTACTGTCCAAGCGTTCACCCGAGATCTTTCCCCAAAGTCGTTTCATGGTCACCTGGCTACATGTGAGGGACCATTTAGAGGTAATGGAAGAATTAAATTGGGAGGGGAAGACATTTGTCTTCCAGCTTTTCGAAGCTAAAAGCAAAGTGCTCTAATTCCCTAGTGATATGGAGCAAAATAGTCTGTTAAAGATAAGCCCATGGTAAGATCCTAATTGCAATGAATGCTTTTGCAACAGTAGAATTCAGCCTTGTAGAGATACACCTTTGTAAATGCCTATTGGTTTGTCGATAATAATGCTGAAATACTAACTACTAACCTCGTCTTTTACTTAAAATGTTAGTTCTCCCCACTCCTCCATAAATGTCAACATCTTTAGGAGGCTGCATTTGCAAAAGCTGGGAAACCACCATTCTCAAAGATGCATGGTTATATACAGCGTGCAATTTTGATGCAGCCTAAACCTGCTTATCTGCTTATCTGGCATGGAACTGTAAGCTCTGTCTTGAGGCTTAAATGCCTTTGTGTGACCAGTAGGCTGTGGGAAGGCAACCTTAGCACATGGAGTCTTCCAGAGCTGCACACAGTTAGTGGCCTGCTGCAGAATGTTTACAGGATTCCAATAAATGGAGACACTTCCCCCACCCCTGTTGGTACAGTTAGTACCATAGTAGATCTTTATTGGAATACAGTGATACCACAGGGTGCTGACACAGTCTTTAGCTAGTTGACCATCAATTTATGGTTAATATTTCCATGCACTGGGGCGGGAGTCACTGGAAGATTGCTAGAAGCAGGGCAGTGTTCAGCAGCCCAGAATCTCCCTCTTGGCCTGGATTTTTTGAAGAGGCAGAAATGTGTTCACACCCCTTTTTTTTCCAGGGAAGACATTGTGCTAGAGGTCATAATGAAGATGGTGACCGACCTTTAATGGGCTTGCAGGAATTCAAGGAGGGCACTGTGACAGCTGTATATTGACTGTTTCTTATGTCTGAGAGGGCGAGAAAACATTTAGGTCTGGGAAAATGTCATATTATTTAGCTGCAGTGGAAGACTGAGAAGTTTAAGATCTTTATTTTAATTCTTTTTTATTAATTCTTTTTTATTTTATAAATTCTTTGACTTAGCTCAGTGCCCTGAATCTAGTTGAATTAAAACCCAAAGTTTTAATGTGAATTATCTCCTGAGCTTATTCTCTGTTTGTGCTAGTTTTAAAACTCTATTTCAAGTCAAGTTTCAGTCCATTTAAAGAACTCACACATTTGTGTAGTATTTTAAACAGTAGCCAGTTGTTCCTCAGTTGTAGTCCAGCCCAGTGCCTGTGAGGACACTACACCATGTGACTTCCAGTTTGTAGATGGAAAGTGTAGGCTTCATAGGGCTAAGACCAAAACATGGCTTAGATGACCTTGCAGAAATAGTGGGGCCCTGACTGGAACAAACCATACCCTGGAAGGTAGGGACCCTGGATACTATTGAGCCCTTTCTCTATGGCTAGCTCCTTTCCCGCTTAGGGGATCAGAAGCCCCAGCTCTGGATACTTTCATGGGTTAAGGTGTTGTAAGTCCAATCCCATATTTGTTACCTTTTATTTCTTGACAATTGTTTAGGATAAATTGATATACCCTCTTATAATACAAGTTGAAAAGGGCTGCCCATTTTTGAGCACTAGTAGGATTCTGCATGTGTTGTATTAATCCATAAGGACTCCTAGGAGGTATTCTTCTCCATTTAAATAGATAAGAATAGTGAGGACGTTAAGCAACCTACCCAAGATCACACAGTAAAAAGGAGTAGGACACAGGCTCTGATGTGTGTATGTGTGTCTGCATAGGGAGCCAGCACTGCCTCAAAGTGCCTACTTTGAGTGTTTTGTTGGGGGAAACAGAAATGTGGAGAGTTGGGGCATTTCCTGAGGAAGGCAGGCCTTTGGTCAAGATCCAGCTTCCCAGGGCAGAGAGACGGGGGAGACAGGAGGGTTGAAAACAGGCTTCCAGAGGGTATGAGAGGAAAGACTTCCACTTCAGGTAAAATCTGAATTTCAGTTATCTATGTAGTTTAGGCAAAAAGCAAAACAAAATCTGAAATGTGTGGGATGGAAAATACACTGTAAAGTGACCATACTCTCTGAGTTCATTGACAACTTTAAACTCTTCCCTGCCCTGCTTGGCCTTTCCTCTGCACAGACTTAGCCTCAAACTATGGCTTTGTTTCTGGAGTTGTTTCTCAAAAAAGTTGTCAGGTAAGAGTTATTTAGCAATGGTTATGAGAATAAGAATAACCAAAGAAGACATGTCTGGGATAGCATTTTGGGTTTTTATTTATTTATTTTTTTTGCCTATCATCATGTTTCTAAACTGTTCTTGTCTTAATCCTCTGTTTTCCCGAATGGAGATGGTCTGGCCTCTATATTAAATTAAATCAGACATCTGGAAATTTGTTGCTTGTAAATTGAATGACCAAAGTAATGACTTCATTACCTCTAGCTCATTTGCACATTTGGTTCTCCAGTTCAGCCTGTCCTAGAAAATGTTCTTAGTGAATCAGAATGGACCGTGGGTTCCCATCTAATCTCAACAACTGATTCAGCACCAGTGCACAGAAGCCATGGTCTTCTATGTGTCTATAGTCCCAAGAGTATTCTCCTACTAGACTAGCTAGCTGGGGCTCTGCAAATGTTACTTTATTCAAATCTCATGCTGAGGCCATTTTATAATATAAATTGCACAGGAAGCAACTGATCTGATCCTGTGACCCTAAACTGGTGAGGGATGCCTATGTAACCAGATTGTCTGGTGTAAATTTGATTCTGCCTTTGGCCAACCATGAAGCTTAGATGATAATAAGCTCTTCGTTACTTAGTTTTTTCATCTGTAAAATGGGGCTAATAATAGTAACCTTCCTTATAGAGTTGATTTAATATGTTAACACATGAAATATTTAGGACACTATTGTCATGGAGTGAACAGTCAATAAGGATTAGCCACCACTAGCGAGGATGGGTAAATAGTGTAAATAGTCTGAGTCAGAGTGGGTGTGTCAGTACAGTTAACTGAGATATTACCAGTTTTTTTTTTTCTTCTTAACTTGGGAACTGCAGCTACTACAAACTTGATATTTATTTATTTATTTATTTATTTATTTATTTATTTATTTATTTATTCACTGTCTCACCATGGTAGGCACATACCCCACCACTGAGCTATATCTTCACTTTCTCTCTTTTTGAAAAATTTTTAAATATTTTATTTATTATTTTTATTTTATGTGTATTCGTGTAAGTGCACCTGTGTCATGCATTGCCCGTGGAGGACAGAAGAGGCTGTCAGATCCTCTGGAACTGGAGTTACAGATAGTTGTTAGCTGCCATGTGGGTGCTGGGATTCGAACCTGGATTTTCTTCAAGAACAGTGTTCTTAACCACTGAGCCATCTCTCTAGCCCCTTGAAATTTTTTTGAAGACAGGATTTAGCTGAGTTGACCAGGCTGGCCTTGAATTTGCAATTCTGTTGCCTCAGCCTCCTGAACAGCTGGGATTTGCCACCAGGCCTGACTTTACAGACTTGAACTTTTGTTTTGTTTTTTTCTTTTTGTTTTTGTTTTTTGAGACATAGTCTCCATGTAGCCCCAGCTGGCCTAGGACTTTGTAGAACAGGCTGGCCTTGACTTCACAGAGATCCACCTGCCTCTGCCACCCGAGTGCTGGGATTAAAGGCAAGTGTCACCACGTCTGGGTACAGATTTGATCTGAAATTGGTATTCATTGGCCAAGTTATTTAACTTTCAGAGCTTCAAATTTCCTTATCTACTATAAACTATAAGTATAATCCCATCCAAATTTAAACTCACAATGCCTACTTTATGTTGTTATCAGAATGAAGTAGATTAATGTGTGGGATGCATATAAAGCTGCTGGTACATACTGGCACATGACCAGCATCCACTCTTGCTATGAGGAGGCCTAAATTAACCTTAGAATTAGATTGTTCTGGCCAGTGGGGCAGAAGATTTAATATTTACCACTTCTCTTTTCAGTTCTTATCTTTTTCCTTCACTAATTTATGTGAAAACCCCACTTTGTCATGTGAATTATTTTACTGGTCAGGATCAGTTGTGAAGTGTAGTTTGTGCTGGCTGTCTAGAAATGACTCCTGGATTTTAATATCTTTCATCTAAAAGAAAATCTTTGTCTTTAATCTTTTTAAAAACTTTTATTCTTTTGGCTTGTAATTTCAGAAGGATTCATTCTGAGCGCTTTAAATTCACTAGACCCTCAGTTGTAAAATTCAAGAGAAATTGTTTTACAAAGTGTGGTGCTGAGGCTAGTGAGCATCCATGTGATGATGCTGAGAAGCTGTTTCCATTGGGGTAGAAGTAGGTATAGAATTAAGCTGGGGTCCATAGAGGGAAGCAGAAACTTAGGGAGGGCCAAATTAGGGGGTGGAGTTTACCTGACTGAAAAATGCTAGCTACTAGAAAAGATAGAAATTATAATAGGTTTCTGGTTATGTATGAGCCAGGCTGTGTGAAATGGGAGATATTGTAGCGTAAGTGGACAAGGCCATGTCTTTTTAGATAACAGTAAATTCCTCTGCTCCTTTTTTTTTTTTTTAAATGAATGACTGCTCACTAACTGAGCTTATTTTCTTATTTAGTCCTTGTGATTATCAGTACAGAATCAGCACTACCTTCATTCTTCAGGTGAAGGGAGGTGAAATGATCTGGAATGAGATGGTCATTAGGAAGCAGAATTTGTATTTAACTCAAGGTGACTAGACTTTGAATCCAGCATTTATTATATTAATGGTGACTAATGACCTAAAAAACTGGCCAAAGGAGAAGGTAGATGTATGGCTTAAACAGCAGGAAGGAAAGAAATGAATTTACTAAACTATATATGGAGTGACAAAAGTTGGCATGCTGTGAAAGCATGAGAGTAAGGAGAAAGACGGAAAAGAGAGAGAGGGACACACACACACATAAATGGTGGGGGGGAGAGAGAGAGAGAGAGAGAGAGAGAGAGAGAGAGAGAGAGAGGAGTCAGGTTCCATAGCACCACAGGTCAAAGACCTGGTGAGGGCATAGGCAGCTTAGAAAAAGAATATGAATATTTAGTCTCAGATTCCCTATAGATGTGAGTTATGGCACAACAGACCTGTACTGTTATTTACTAGGCTTACTGATAGGAGACTGTTTTATAGTATTGTCTAATGGCCAGGAACATAGGCACAACTGCCTTATTCAGTGCAGGTTCTACTGTTTACTAGCAAGGTGACTTTGGCCAAGATAATCTTCTGTGCCCCAGCATTCTCTGTGAACCAGGCAGGCTGTAAACTTGTGATCATCCACATCAGCCTCCCAAGTACCTGGAATTACAGGCCTGTACAACCAAGATTACCACCTAAAATTCTCATCCATAAAATACGTATAGTAACAGGTAGAGCATGATGGTTTATGCCTTTAATCATAGATCTCAGGAAGTAGAGGCAGGCAGATCTCAGTGAAATCCAAGGCCAGCCTTGTCTACATAGTGAGTTCCAGGCTAGCTGGGGCTACAGGGAGATCCTTTCTCAAAGAAAAATGTAAAATAATACTATCTACTTCATAATGTTATGAAGATTAAATGAGATAATACCTGTGAAACCTGTGGAATCAGGTGGGACACATAATAACCATAATATGCCTGCTTCTGAAAATATTCTACTTACTCATGTGTTCCAAATAACTGAGGCAGGTTGATTTGTAGTTACTTCCTTGGGCCACTGGGTTTTAGTCGTATCAGAGTTTGTAAGGTCCTCCTGCATTTTGACTATACTTCCATTCTCTTAAGCACTGGTTGAGCTAAGCCCTGCCACACACACCTCTGCTTGTTCATAGAAGACTACAACCCTGAAGGGTCCTCTCAAGAACTAAGGCAAGAACATATAATATGCACATTGTTCTTTATTTCTGGTTTGGTTTTAACAGGAAACAGCAAGAGCTTGACTCCAAAGATGCTATTATTCTGCATCAGTTTGCAAGACCTAACAATGGTGTCCCCAGTTTATCTCCTTTCTGTTTGAAAATGGAAACGTATTTAAGGATGGCTGACTTACCCTATCAGGTACTTGTTTGCAAGTATGCTTTATTCTTATGACAGATGTCAATATCAGTTAGAGGGGGCAGTAGTTAATGTCATACGGGTGGATGTCAGGGGAGGTGGGTTGTGAAAGTAGAAATGCTTCTTAAGAGAGAGATACTTGATTCCAGGGTCTTTTGATTTCTTTTGACATCAATCTTTAAGGATTCAGAACTATGATATTTCTCTGAATATATAATATTCTTTGGGGGTTTGGATAGGCCCACAGGGCAGCTGGTATATAATAAAGGTCACAGTACCGGATGGGATTTTCCTTTTAGATTTTTTTCATTTATCTATGGCATCATATTTTGTTTTCTGTGAATGTGGGGTTGAGGGCACAATGGGAACCAGGTAGATATTTGAAATACAACAAAACAAAAAATGATTGGCACTATGGGGAATTGAAGCTAGGGTGCTTGTGTGCTAGGCAAGGGCTCTACCACTGAGCTCCAGCTCCAGCCTTTGAATAGACTTTGAGCTTTTCCATGTTTTGCTGAAGTGAATTTCAGGGATTTACTTGTTCATTTCAGTATTAAAGAAGCAATTAAAGAAAAAAGAAGGATAAAGAGAGGGCTGGAGAGACAGTTCAACAGTTAAGAATGCTTGTTGCTCTTGCAGAAGCTCTGGGTTCTGTTCCCAGCATCCACATCAGACAGTTAACTCCTGTTCCAGGGGATCTAACACCATCTGGCCTCCATGGGCACCTACACTCATGTGATGCACATAAACTCACACAGGTGCACACACATACACATAAATAAAAATACAAAAGAAGAAGAGAAAAAAGAAGCATATATACATACATACACATAAAAATAAGTGATTTACAAGTATTTTTACCCAATTAAAAAAGGAATATGTCAAAAATATTAATTGTAATTAATTACTGTGGTTTAGAATATGGGTAACTCACGTTATAGTCTTTTTTGTTGTTCTTTTGGTCTTTTTGAGACAAGATCTCCCTGGAACTCACTATGTAGACCAGGCTGGCCTTGAACTCACAGAGATGTGCCTGCCTCTGCCTCCTGAGTGCTGGGATTAGAGGTATGCACCACCACAACTGGCCTCCGTAGTTTTTTTTTTTAATTTGCAAATTTTCTCCGAAGTAAAAAATGGAAATAAATATTATTTTTAAAACATAAACAAAAGAACATATTTGAAGATATACATTTCCCTCTGACTAACGTTTGAACCACATCTAAAAATGACATGTTGTGTTTTCATTGTCAATATTCAATATAGTTTAAAATTTTTTCTTTGTATTTTCCTTTTTAATCAGGTTCTAGCTCTATGGAATTTTGTTTGGGTTTCTATAATTGATTTTTATTTTATGGTCAGAGAAAATAGTCTCTTGTGTCCTGATTCTTGGAATTTACTGAGACTTTAGCATAATGTGCGGTTATTTTTTTTTATATGATAAAAAAATATGGGATAGAGCTTTTAATGTATTTATTCACTTGAACATGTTTAATGTATTATTTTAGACCTCCTATATTTCTAGTTTTTAAAAAATGGTTTGGTAGTGTCTGAAAGATGTAAAACATTTAAGTATATTTGTTGATGGTCCTATTTTTGCTGTCCTATTAGCTCTGACTTTATATGAGAGTATTTATATATTTAAGGTTATATACTTTTATAGATTACTTTTTTTACTCTTTTGTTTAATTTTCCAAACATAGTGCAATCCTTTTCCTTTATGATTTTTTAAAATTTGAATTTCATTTGTCAGATAGTGAGATGGATTCTTCATCTTTCTTCTGGTTCCTATTTGTTTGAGATAACTTTCTCTATTCTCTTTCTCCATCTTTTGGTATATTAGTGTCCTTGTTTGCTTTCGCTGCTGTGATAAACACCAGGACTAAAAGCAACTTGAGGAGAAAGGGGTTTATTTACACTTCCAGATCACAATCCATCATTGAGGGAAGTCAGGCTCAGAACTCTTTTATCTGAGATCTTATGTATCTTTAGTGATAATAAGACCAATACATGTTAATATAAATAGCACATTTTCTTTCTTTCTCTTTCTTTCTTTCTTTCTTTCTTTCTTTCTTTCTTTCTTTCTTTCTTTCTTTCTTTCTTTCTTCTTTCTTTTCTTTCTTCTTTTTTTTTTAGTCCTGGTGTTTTGAGATGGAGGCCTTGCTTTGTTGGCCAGGCTAGACTGGAAGCTGTGATCCTTCAGCCTCAGCTGCAAATGCAGTCATGCACCACTGTGCCCAGCTCATATTTTACTTTAAAACTCCATCAAAATAATTCATGTCTTGAAAACATAGATAAAATGCAATGAAGAATTTTTTTCTTAAATTTCAAGGTCCAGTTGACAAATTTAACTGGCAAAACACTAACCAATGTCATAGCATTTAGAACTGAATGGTGTATGGCTTAACCCTGCAATATATGACTTTCACAGAATTATCTACAGTTTAGAATTAGTCAATTCTGTGTCTACTTAACAAACGTGTTACTTGATCATGACCATTCTGAGGCCCTTATTAGTTCGACCTAGGGAGAACTGATAGGTTTTTAAATGGATAGATGTCTGAGTAGCTCCCTATCGTCCCTTGATGTGTCAAAAAACTTTGTTGTATCAAAAATACAACTGTCGGTGTAATAAGTGACCCCTGCGACCTGGTACTTGCCTGGAACTCTTTCCAAGTACTGCTACCCCTGGGAGCGTCAGTGAGCTGTCTGCGGGGTGGGGTGCAGAACTCTGGCTGTACCTGTTTTCTTCCTGAATCGATGGGCAACATTTCCTAAGTCTTACTGAGCCTTTCCTCTTTGAGCCAGAAAGAGACAGTCACTCTGCTCAAACCGACATGCTATGCGCATTAATGTCATTAATGCTGTCAATTAACAGCAAATGGGCTTCGGAACCCAGAAGGCTGTGTGGACCGCAGGAGGGAGCCCTATGTGGGGCCGGGGCTCAGTCCCAGACATCCAGCAGTGCAGTTCACTTAGGATGGTCAGGGATATTTTGAACACAAACTGCCTTCCCCTTCGGCTCTAGTAGTTTAACTAACTTCAAACAGACATGCTCCACTGAGCCCTGTGCCTGGGTATGCCATTCTCACCAGGAACTTTTTAAAACACAGATCCCCAAACAGTAACTAACAGGGCATAGACGCTCCGACCGCTGGCTGGCATGCTGTGGATCTTGCTGTTTGTTTGCTCATTCTTTCTTTCTTTCTTTCTTTCTTTCTTTCTTCTTTCTTTTCTTTCTTCTTTTTTTTTTGAGACTGTGTATGTATAGCCCCAGCTGGCCTGAAACTTAGTATGTAGACAAGGCTGGACTTGAACTCACAGAGATCTGCCTGTCTCTGCCTCTCGAGAGCTGGAATTAAAGGTGTGTGCCACCACATCCTGCCCTAAATAGCACATTTTAAAAGAACAATAAATTTTAAAAATAAAAACATTTAGTAAAAACAGTAACTTAAAAAAAATTGTTGTAAATTTATTTCATTTGTAGCCTATTAGATAAATGTTAGATTCTTATATCTGCTTTTACATTCAATATTTTTTTCGGTTAATGTCCAAAGTCCGAAGAAAATCTGATCTCATAAAGATGGGTTGTTCAGAAGCAGAGGAATTTGGTTTGGGTTTTTGTTTGTTTATTTTAATTTGTTTTTTTCATTTTTAGTTGTTTGGTTGGTTGTGATTATAATAGTTTTTTACACGAGTGTCATTATACTTTGTCTAATTCATACCCCTCCTGCACTGCCTTCCTCTGTCCCCCACACCCTGCTCACTCTCTTGCTGGTCCAATTTTTTACCACAAATATTCTCCTCCCTGCACTTCTATGCCACGTGTATTCCGTTACCCTGTCTTTCTCTTTTCCCTGACACTTAAGAGGGCTCGTCCCTTCTCGTGGCCCTCTTTTTAGTTTTATGACATATGTACACACACACACACACACACACACACACACACACACACACATTTAAATCTAGGTTTGCACGTGAGAGAAAATGTGATATTTGTCTTTCTGAGTCTGGCTTATTTCACTTACCATAAATCTGTCCAGTTCAGTCTATTTTGCTGTAACTGGCATAAGTTAATTCTTCTTTATGACTGAATAAAACTCCATTGTATGCATATACTACACTTTCTTTATTCATTCATATGTTGTCTGACACCTAGGCTGATTCTGTAACTTGGTTATGGGAAAAGTGCTGCAGTAAATAAAATGTACAGCTGTCTCTGTGGCATATTGATTTATAGTTCTTCAGTTATATACCCAGAAGTGGTGTAGCTGGATCATAGGGTAGCTCTAGTTTTAGTTTTTCAAGAAACCTTCATCCTGCAGAGTGGCTATACCAGTTTACATTCACACCAGCAATGAACAAGTGTTCTTCATAGTCTGCATCCTCACCAGAATTTGTTGTTATTTGTTTTCTTTATGAGAGCTACTCTGACTGGAGTGAGCTGGACTATGTGATTTTTCTTTTATTCTGTGGAGCTAATGATCAATATTCTTAAAATATTTCCTTCGATACTTGCTTCTTTCCCTTCTTCCTGTTTCTCTTGTCTATCAGCATCTCTGCTTTTATTCCCTATTTTTCTGTGCTGTCCTGTAATTCTCTCTTCTTTTGGGGAACTTTCCTCTCTTCAAGCTCCCAGTGCACTGTCCTGTTCTGTTCTTACAACATTGTGCTTTTTAGTCCATCTGCTGTGTTCTTTTTTTTTTTCCCAGAGTCTCCCTGTGTAACCCAGGCTAGCCTTTCCTCTTGTTTTCACTTCCCAAGTGAATGATTACAGGTGTTGTGTTACCATGCGTGGCCAACTAGCGACTAAAATTTGACTTTTAGCTTTTTAAAAATATTTTTCCTGTATAAAAATATTTCTTCAGTTTTTCTAATTTTTTACTTATCTGTTGGAGGATATTTATTATGCTAACTAAAAGTGATCTGCCCCAGCGCTTCTCCTTTGTGCCACATGTATTCAGTGTGCTTGCTTCCCTTTTTTTGTTTGTTTGTTTTCAGAGCTC